CCCCCCCCCGCCGCGGAGCAGCCTGACACAGCTGGATCGCTGCGGAGCGCAGATAATTTCCCCTCCGAAGCGCGCAGCCGGCGGACCCCAGCCGAGCCCCGGGATGCTCCGCGCCGCGCCGCGCCGCGGGTCGGGCCCGGCCGGGAGGCGGCGGCAGCGCCCGCGCTCCGCGCTCCGCACCGGCCCTGCCGAGCTGCCGCCTCCGGGTACCGGCTGGCGCCCCTGGCGGGCCCTCCGGGGCCCCTTCAACCCTAAAGAGATGAGTGCCTAAGTCGTGGCTTTCGCTCGCTGGGAAAGTAAAATATGGGATCTCTGCTTTTCTGTTCTCGGTCTCCCTAAAAGAAAAGCAGTCAGTAAGCTTTTTTTTTCTTCTTTTTTTTTAATGCCTTAAGTCACAGGTACTGTATGGACTACACAGGATATGTGACATTACAAGCCATCAATTTATATCTGCTAATACTACAGATAGTGAGTTCTTTCCCCCCGCCTAAAGTCCTGTGCATTTCAATTTGATAAGAACTGATAGGATATCCACGAAGCCTTGCTGTGGTATAGCAACTTTTATTGGCTGGCATAACAAAATCTACTCTTTGTGAACTATCACATGATACAGGAAGGCCCAAACTTGCAAAATTAGTGGCTCTAATCTTGCAAAAAATTACGTATGAGAGTATCTTTATGCAGGTTAGTAATTCCCAGTGACTTCCTATAAAACCACTCTCCTGCAACACCCAGGTCCTCAGACCACAATAATGCTGTTATGCATCAGCTGACATTGATGAGGCTCATTGCCCTGAAAGTACCACAGCCACTTACCAAAAATCCTAGCAGAATTGCTGCGGGCTTTCCAGAAGAGGAAGCAGGGCTTGATTCTCCCCTCAGGCTGTCATGCACTGTGTCAGCAATATGCTAGATCTGAGCAAATACTCTGGTGCGAGGCAATAAATGGCATGACTCAGGTACCTGAGTCACACGTTACTAGATTTGTAGGACTAGAGCAGAGACTCTACCAAATGACAGGGGCTAAGAGTGCACCCAAAAACCATGGAAGCTCCTTTTCACACATGCAGAAATTGCCTGCCTGCTCACCCTTCTTCCAGCACCTCGCAGGTTGGTGCATGGCATGGGTGACAGCAATAAGAACCTGGGGGGCAGGAAACCTCACGGTTCCTTGATCTGAAACTTCTCCATGGCAGGAATTCCCCACAATCAAGGAATGTTTCTGTAAAGCCATTGAGTTTTAGAACCTACTTGAATGCTAAAATCCATGGAGAAGCTTGACTTAGCACATTGAACTGAAATGTGTTGGTTCCTGTGTTCAGCATACATTTTAAAGCACCTTTTCATATTGCTTTATTAAGGTAGAACCCCAAAACTGAAAATGTGAGGCGCATATGTAATATAATTCTTATCATATACACTGAAAACACATATCAAACCATCTCAAGAGTTTCTTATGGCTATACAGAGTTTATTGAAACAGGGACAATATCAACACCGGTGAATGGCTGTTCTGTTTGCTTTTGTACTGTTTCTGTAACATTGAGACTTTTTTCTGTATGTGTTACCTGGATTTTTGGTGCTTGAAATGAAAACAAAAAGTGTTTACAACTTAGAAAAGGGTGCTGTAAATATAAGATGTGCAAGAAAGTTTTGTTTACCTCATTTTCCACTGCTAGCTGAGGACCAGTTTCCCAGTATGCTTACATGGTGGGCTAGCTTCATTTGTGAAGATAAATGCACATATATATGGTGGTAGGAAAGATGTTTGAAAGAATATTAAGAATAAACAGTACTTGAAACGCAAAATTTTGTTCACCGTGTTTTCATTTTTCTCTCAGGTTCAGCAATGGAAATCATTAAAATTGATTTCAGCTGTATATTACCACAATAGTTGGATTTTAAACAGTGCAGGAGAATGTTTATTTAACAATACTATTGTTACACAATTTAGAAGAAAATTTGTGAAAAAAATTCTACTAGTTTTGGGGGACAAATTTAAGCACACCATTCTACTGCACCATTCAAGAGAGCAAACTAGAAATCTGGAGAGCATGCTCCAGTGATGCCTTCTGTTTAGCCCTATCCCTATCTAATATCCATAGTATTGCAACTATTGCACCACCGTTAGCATTACTTTTGCTCTCCAAAAGCCTAGGGAACCTTTGCTTGGAATAAATACATAGAGAAGTGGTTGGCTGCTATGGCCATTATTAAGTAGCAGTCCCTTTTGTGATGTCTGCTACCAAAGTGGACGTTATCCTTACAATTGATGCTTTTACAACCAATACCGGAGTTGTTCTTACAACGTGGGCATAAGATGTTTGCTAAATAATAATAGAAAGCCAGAAGAGGAGTGCAGGAACAGAAAACACCAAGAATTAAGCATTTTAATTTGTGTGGCTATTTCAGCTGCAAGCTTAAAAATAAATCAATATGCAAATAAATAAATAAATAAAGGAATTTCCAGGAGGGGCTGCTGCTTAGCTCTGCTGACAAGGAGGATGTTTCAGGACAGTCCAGTGGCTGTGAATCACCTGTTGAAACCCAGCCTGTAGAAATCTCAACTTGACTGTCCCAAAACCGTAGAAAGCATCAAAGCCATTAATCACTTTTGACAGTGAAAAACTTAGACCCTGAGATGAAAGAGCTCCTGACAATTTTTGCAGAAGTTGAGTTTTGTCATAGTACTTCTGGCCGAAACCTTCCTGAGGCACAGGTTATCCAACATAGTCTTTGTTACCCCCAATAGCAAAGATGGTTGGATTTTACTGTTCTTACAGGCTTTATGAATGGCCTTTAAAAATATCACTATTTTAAATGTATATAATAAATTACCTACAGAATCTTGTTCATAGCCATTAAAGCATACCAGGATGCCAGCTGTGATGTAGAAACAAAATACAGGATTATTATTGCATTTTGACTTTTCAGAAGTCACAGATAAATTTCTCTCTCTTTTGACAATGCTAGCTATCTACTGGGTTTGAATGAAAATATTTTGGCACATGCATGTACATGTATAGTCTATTAGATATTTTTAAATAGGTCCTGAAGATCTGACCTAAATTCACAAACAATGACATCAATAAAAATGGACTGTATCAGAAACTTCAAGCTCATTTTTCTAAGCTGCAGTATGTTTGCGGATCTCCGTACTCCAGTCCCTAAATTATGGTTGTCCGTTTGCTTTTATAGACTTAGATATGTATGAATTTTATATTCATATATACATATATATGAACATTTGGTGCAGGACGATTAAACAAGGTCAGTATGATGTAAGGGTTATTATGACTCAGTTTTAGTATACCTATTCAGACTGTAAATCTGCTGCTGTATATACATTTGTGTATAACATATGTGGAGAAGAAGATGACCTTTGCAGAACAGCCAGCTTAATGAAGAAAGAAATAAATCTTGTGTAAGACATGTTTTAATTAACCTACAAACCACCCCATTCCAAACAGTAGTTTAGGTCTGTTTATGGACTCATTTCCATCTTATCTGGACATAGATTTACAATAAAATAAATTGTTAAACGTTAAGGTTGTGAAATTATAATATTTACATTATGAAATCCAAGCATGAACAAGCAGGAAAATGAAGAGGTCAGGAATGGCTCTCAGAGTTTTCATGCCATTAACCTGTTGTGTTTCTACAAAGAAAAACACACCTCTACAAACTGTTTTTACTGACGTTTACTTGTTCTTCTCTAGTTTAGCTTGCTTATGAAGAACCTCTTCAGGAGTTCATGAACAATAAGGTCTAGAAGTGATTTCATCACAGTCTTCTGCTGTCTGAAGGAGAAAAACTTGGGAAGAGCTAGAAAAACTAAAAAAAAACCCCAAACCAAAAACAATTTAATGTTGAAGTTCAGCAAGCTCTGAACTTGAGAGGAGCTTCTCTCCTGTTGCAGTGAAAACAATTAATCACTGGAGCTGCCCAATAGTGGTTGTAAGCTGGTCCTGACCAGAAAAGTTTAAATCAAACCAGGCATTTTGCTGAGACATTGATGCAAGCTAAATCTCACTTTTATAACTTCAAGCAGGAATTCAAGGGAGTCCTATGATCTGCAGTCTGTAGCGAATGCAGTGCTATTTCCCAGCTTTCATGTAAGCCCTAGTAACTCTTACTTTCATAAGAAGTCCT